ACAAGATGACACACATGGGAAAAGAGAACTCAAAGCTCACCAACAATGGAGGCCAGGCAGCACTCAACACAGCATTACACGTGGTGCATCCTAGAGATGAAAATAAGGAATGGTGATAAGGATCTATTTTTAGTCTGCTTTTAGCTTTTCAATGTCACCTTCTCTGAAAGCTTTCCTTATTGTTCCCTAGCAGAGTCACCATCTCTCTTGCTGTTCTCTATTCCTTATGTTCATCTTCCCCTTCTCCCACTGCATGGTGAATTCAGTCCATCCCCCGACTTCCCTGACTGTGAATTATTTGAGGATAGGAAATGATGTGTAGTAGAGGCAGTGGTCCTGGGCAAGCCCCTTGGAGATCACATAAGGACAGTTCTCAAATTTACTCTGAGGCTCTTCTGTGTCTCTACCTGGGGAGGTGCCAGGGAGTGCCTGCCTCCAAAACATGCACCAAATGAAGGAATAAGGGTGGGAGTCTGTGGAGAGATAACTGGTTGGTGTCCACACAACCAGGCAGGGCAATTCTGAGGTGTGTTCCGCACAGTGGTCTCTGAGAGACCCACAGAGGAGGAGCCCTGGCTGGTCTTGCAGGCACCTCATTAACACACAGTGTGTCAAAGTACTTGCTTCTTCTCTTACCTCCCTATTGCCCACCACAATTTACGCACCAAGTCCTTGTCCAGGGTCTCCTTTGGGGAGAATCAAACTAAGACGAGTAGTTTGCTCATTTCTGACTCCCCAGTGTTTAGCCAATTCCCTGGCACAACAGATGCTCAAAAGTAAATAAATGAATGAATGAATGTATGGCCCGAGGGGCCTCAGAATTCCAAACACTAGCAAAACCCTCACTGATGGCCTGGGTGATGGAATCTAGAAAAACGTAACTGCATTTCTTTTGAGTTTGAGACAAAACACTAAAAATAATACTGTCCTGCCTGCAACCCAATCGGATTTCTAATCTGCATGTAGAAAAGGAGGAGAGTTCAGTGGTCAAGAGCTCAGCTCTGGAATCCAGTAGAGCAAGGCTCAGAATTCAGAGTCCTGCTACTTCCTGAGTTCCTCGAGCTTTCGTTGTGTCCCCTGTGAAATGGGACTAATAACTGCACCTGTTTGTGGGGCTGTGGGGAGGATTTAATGATAAAAAGTTTATTAGAGAATTTGGCAACAGTCCTAGCCCAAAAGAGACTGTCAATAAATGTTCTCAATGTTAGTATTACTATTATTAGTATTATTATTATTATTTTACTACACGTTTTAGGCAGTTTTTAAGTTTATTCAGGTGACAGATGGGAGCAGAGTGCCAGTTTCATAACACTCAACAAACAGTTATGGTATGAATGAAGCAATAATTCAAGAGTAGAATATAAGAGCCTACAAAAGCCCTTCTTTTGCAAAAGTTCCTACAGTTTTTTTTTCTGCTCATTAATCTCACCTCTGTTTCAAAAAGTCTGTGTGAACTTAGGAAAGTCATGCAATCTATCTGAAGTCCTACCTATAAAATTTAGATTAGTATTAGATCATTCCCAATGCCCTTTGCAGGCCTTCACTTGGAGATGGAATAATTCTCCATGAAAGAGGGCGAGAGCCAGGCCCCACTGGATATCAGGCCACAGCAGGGAGCAACAGATGGGCAGCTGCTCGCTGCGCTACTCAGAGAAGGGGCTGGATTGTTCTTTGTTGGGGGTGCTGTCCTGTGCAGTGTCACATGAAGTGTGATCTAGAAATTTGGTGACTGTTTAAATTAAAAACTGTATTACAGCAAAAGACACTGCCATTAGTCTCCCTCATAATACACCCCTCACTCTGAACACTTACTATGCTGGCCACTTTCAGAAGCAGCTCTGACAGTCCTTCACAGTGTCTTCAGTTTTGGTGACATGGCTGCCTTGATGTCCCAAATCCATTCAAAGTGTTTTCCTTTAATGGTCATTTGGACTTTAGGGAAACCCAGAAGTCACCTGAGGCCAGATCTAGTGAATAAGCCAGTTGAGGACACACTGTCATGTTTTTACGAGGCTGGCTTTCTGTTGGATGGCACTCAGCAGCATTAGCTGTATTTCTATCAAGCTTCGTGAAGACACTCACAAAAGGGGGCTTCCACAACTGCGTCAGAAAGCGCCAAGAATGGTAGGATCAGTGTGTTGCAAATGAAGGGGAACATTCTGGGTGGGATTAATGGTAATATGTCTTTGTCTGTAATAAATTTTTAAAAATTTAAACATCCACCATACATGTGGTGAATCATCTCTTCTTTGTACCAGCATACCTGGCTTCTTCTCACCACATATCCCCAGTGAAAACCTCTCTAGACATTGCCAGATGTCCCTGGGGCAAAATGGCCCCAGGGAAAAGCCCTTGGGATAAAGGTGTTTTTCCTTTACAGACTCACAGGCAGGCAGGACCCTAGGGTCCAGCTCCAGTCCCATATGGGGGTGGGGTGAACGCTGCACCCCTGCCTTGGTTGGCCTGCTTTAATTTGTATTGCAACAGCAGCAGCTACAACAACAAGGAGCTCCTACCTATTTCTGCCTTTTCCCCTAGCTACTTCTACCTTCCCACCTCGTCCTTCATTCTCTACTGCATTTCATTAAAAAGCAGGCTCTTCAGAAACAACCAAGCACTCACTGCAGAAGTGGAATTCTTTTGTTTTCCCCAGTCTATCATTAGCCATATTTGCCTGTAGATAAAATTGATGTTTTTAAAGCTCATCTACTCACAAGCCCAGAACATAATCCCCTCCTGGGTCATCACTATCCACTGATGACATTACGAACAGCAGGAGACCCAAACTCCACAACCCAAATGATCCTGACATGCAAATATGTCATAAAACCTCAACAAAGGCAGAAGGCTGCAAAGGCTTTATTAGCAACTGAGCCACCGTTAACCAGAAAGACCTGAGGAGCTTTCCAGGCAATGGTCGAGGCTGCCTTGAGTCCAGAGTTCTGCGCCAAAAGTCCAAACGCCTTCCCAGGAGGCAGCACCACAGCTCAGAGGAACCAAAAGGAGAGAATGAAGTTCTGGCAACTTCCAAATGGCTCTCTGTAAATGGGGATCACAAGTTATTGTGGTCATCAATTCCTTCCTTCACACCAAAGCAAGGTCCTACAAAGACTGGACCCCAGGCCTCCAGAGCTGCATCTGTTTGACTAGAGCAGTGAACACAGTTCATTCATTGGAGAACGCCCTGCTCTCCAGACTCCCCTTTCACCTTCCACAGCAGGGTCAGCATCGTTTCTCAAGAAGCACCAGCCTCCCAGCCTCCTGCCTCTTGATGATCCGAGCTGGGGAGCCATACTTGTCCTTTGGGGGTGTGCCAGGGTGGGGCAGGACTTCTGTAGTGCAAGGAGGGTTCCTGCAGGGGTGGGAAGGGCTCCCACAGTGACCAGCAGGACTCCTGCAGTGGCAGGGAGGCCTGCAGCAGTGATAGAGGACTGGAGAGGACTGCTCAGGACACGCGAAGACACAGCCTGTCTTTCCCACTGCCCCTGCTGGTCTTCCCCACTCAAGGCCCTTGCACTTGCTATCCTTTTTCAATAGCTCCCCTTCCCTCAAGCTGGAGTCACCCTGTTGTCCCTACCTGACTGACACCTCCTCATCCAGGCTTCTGCTCACTTTCCGGAGCAGCCTTCCCGGACCATACTCTAGCAAAGTCCCTTCCATACCCTGTAGCCCTGAACTTGCTTTTTTTTTTTTTTTTTCCTTTTGTCTTCAAGATGCACTTCACTCCCACTGTAGTTCCACTGTATTTGCTTTGGTTGGCCTGTTTCTTGTGTCCTCCCCCCGCCCCCCGCGCCCACATGAGGGCCATGCGGGCCAGGGATTTGAACATCTTGCTCACCTTGCCATCTCTAGGGCCTAGAAGGGTGCCAGGCACACAGCAGGTGCTCTCTCAATATCTGGTGAATGAATGGAAGCCTGGGCTTGAGCTGAGAGATCACAAGAAGCACAGTAGACTGCCTGGGTGGCAGAGGCTGAGAATCCCCAAATGGCTGCTAAAGGAGACAGGCTCTACCTGACCTTAAAGAATTACCCCACACCTTGGACACTCTGCCTTCAGTCTGCACCTATGTTTATCCTCACCTTGAAACTATTCTCTTGTGGCATATTGGCCCAGCCCCTAGACTGGCGTGGGGTAGAAGAGAGACAGACAGCATTCTGTAGAGAGCCACTGGGGTTAGCGTGGTCCCGGTTCCTCATTCATCCTGCCAAGTTTTTTCTAAGCACTCAGTTCACTGCTCTATTTTTAGGTAACTCCGGTGGTAACCTAAACAGTAAAAACAGCCGTCACCTCATAAATGCAGGATCAGCAGACCCCTTGCATGTATGAACTTGTCAAAATAATTGCAAAAGTCACTTTTCCTGGAGACCATTAAAAATAATTAGTATGAAAATAGTTTTTTGAATAAGGAGATAAGTTTGGCTGCAAGGGAAACATGCTCATTTCTTATAGCCAAAAATTAAAACCCCATGTTCCTTTCTAAGCTCCTGCGACTGTTGGAACAGGAAGATGCATTCCATGATGGCGTCAACCCTGGAGGATTCCACACTCCACACTCCAGCTTCGCCGTGGAGACTGAGGCTGGCTGGACAACCATCTCTTTCTCTTCCCTGGATGAAGAGGACACTGTTCCCAAGGACAGCCTCTGCCCTGATTTGGGTGTTTCATTCCTTCATCAGCATGTGGAAGCCTTCCTCATCTATTCTTTTTTTCTTTTTTGGTACCAGGGATGGAACACAGGTCGTTCTGCTTGCAAGGCAGGTGGCAGCACCACTGAGCTAAATCCCCAGCCCTTCCTCATCTAATCCTTACAAACAGACCCTCAGAAACAACTCACGAGACCTACTGCAGGAAGCAAAAGTTCAGGCTTCTGAACTAAAGCAGCCTGGAGCCCCGACTGCCACTTCTCACCCCAAGTGCTGGGGCACTCCCCTCCTAGCTGCTGGGCGGCTGTCGAGGCCTCTTTCTTACTCCCTCCTGTTCATATGAATTCCTTGCCCTCTCTGCTCTCTAAATGCTGATGTTTATGCCATTCAAGCCTTACATTTGATTAGCTGAAGTACCTTCCATGGGCTCTCAAACCCTGATAAATAAAAATCTTGCTTTGACTAAATAGAAAAACAGAATATGTACCTGCAAACTGAATTTGTGCGTCCAGTAAAGGCTCTTGGGTCAAATGCTTCTGTCTTCACCCAGTGGAACACTGTGTAGCCAGAGGAAGGGCGAGGTGAAGCGAGGGATAAGGGCAGACACAGGAAAGGGCATCGCAATGCCGTGAAAGAGACACAGAGCGGAGCCAGGTTGGAGAGCTGAAATCAAGCTTAGGAAGAGAGGGGAAAGCAGAACGATGACTCCTTCCAGCACATCCGGGTCAGGTGTCTCTCTTACGAGCCCGTGGAGCACCTCTCCTGGTAAAGTTCAACATCAGGAGCAGCAATCAAAACACTAAAATTCCACATATTCCCAAAGTTGCAGATGGTCCCCTTCTATATAGTGCATAGCCATCATATCTACATTTCCCAGCTCCCTTGCATCTAACCAGGGCTACATGGTCAGTTTTCACCTATGAAATGTGACAGGCTGCTGTGAACCCCTTCTGAGCCAAGGCATCTCCTAAATAGATGCGTCTTTTTCCCATTACCTCTTCCCCTCCTACCAGCTGGAGGCAGAGGACCTGCAGCCCTAAGAGACTGTGGCAACATAGGACGGAAAAAGCCTCTTCCCTGAATCCCCACTTAGAGGAGAGCCACCATCTGTCCATGAGCTCCTGCCCTGGCCTGCTAGCTGGAAGAGAAGTAAGCTTTTGTCATGCTAAGGAAACAAAAAATCTCCACTAAAACTTGAAGATTCAATGGTCACTGTGGTATCGTTATCTTTCTCTAGCCTAGGTGATATTTTCTTATTTAATTGTAAATAACCTCCCCTGGATGGTAGCAGTCACCACTACATCATCAACACCTAGAAAAGGTGAATGTTAAAGGACCATTTGTTGAATGAGAACAGTGCACTTTGTTAGAAGGAGAGCTCAGATTCCCATGAAAGAAGTCTCCTTATTTCAACAGAAGGCCATCACACACTTGCACATGCACGGATCCAAGCACACGCACCCTCCTATTTCCACACCAATGCCACATACAGTTTATGGTTAAACCTGATCCTGCTGTCCTGTGATTCAGATGACAGTAGAGACCATCCTAGGAACAAACACTTCAAGGCTCTGCTACCCAGCATGGGTATCGCACAGAGTCAAATACCACAAAAGAAAATTGGAATAGGAAAGAAAAAGTCATCAAGAAAAATAGTCCAGATTTCTCATGATCTCACCCGTGAGTCAGATTTGCGTTTGGGATAACAACTATCCGAGCAGACCAGAACAGTCTGCCTGCAAGATGTCGGCCTGCCAATTTCAACAGCACAGAGAAGGCATGCTTCTTAAATTGGCTTAAAAGGACAAATCTAGTGCACTTGCTTATTTTTTTCTTTAAAAAAAATTCAAGGTGAAACAACCTCTTATTTAAAAGTAGATGTCTTGGAAATTAAACCATAATTTTTTATAAACACTGAACACCACGTACCTGTGTCTTGGCACATGAAGCAGTGGGGGAAAGTCCTATGAGAGACTCTTTTACCATGTGACCCTTACAGCCAACTCACCTCTCTGGGCCAGACTTGTTCATCTAGAAACTTTGAGGTTAGAATAGATGATCTCTAAAGTCTTAGGAAGAAATCATTGTCAGTGGAAGGAAAACTAAATTTTGTATGCCTTGCAAGTCATTTAATATTCATGGAACTTATTCCTAACAGAAACAGGACTTTTTTTTTTTATGAGTAGCTTAATTTAGAGGAATGTATTCATCCAGGACAGAAGCGGAGGTCCAAGCCACTGTGCCTGTGAGAGAATCTTCAGCAGTGAGAGGCAGGGAAGGATGCTCGTTCTCAAGTAACAGGGAGGGCTGTGGTCCGAGTGTCTTCCCTCCCCCAAATCCTTACGTTGAAATCCAAGCCCCAAGGTGATGGCATTAGGACGTGCGGACTTTTGGGAGGTGATTGGGTCCAAAGGGTGAAGCCTCGTGATTGGATTAGTGCCCATGTCACAGAGACCCCAGAGAGCTGTCATGCCTCTCCCACCCTGTGAGGACACAGCAGCTCTCTGGGGTCTCTACAAAGCAGAGTGTGGGCCCTCACCAGGTACCAGATCTGCAGGCATCCTGATCTTGGACTTGCCAGCTTCCAGAACTGAGAAATGAACTTCAGGTTTTCACAAGCCTTCCAGAATATGGTATTTTTTATTGTAGCAGCCCCCAAATCCCCTAAGACAGGCAATATGTGGATTATGGAGCTCCAACTATGTTCAGTATTTTCTTCTCCAACTGTGTGTTGGGATATTCCTAAAAAGACTGCAGGAATTATTCACTGTAATTGCTTCCTTCTACCTCTCCTCCGGTCTCAAAACAAGTGAGAGGCTGGGTGCGGATTAGAACGCAGTTCTGGCCACAGTATTAGGCCTGCTGGTCTTTGCTCCTCGTTACCCTCCTCCCTGTCTCACTCTGCACCTTCTACAATAACAAGAAGTGCATTTTTGCCTCTGGACCTCTCTGTAAAAAAAGGATGGATGAAGGAGCTTTGTATTTATATCTTTAGGCTTGGGAATGATTGCTAGATTTTTAATTACTCCAGTCTTGCCTGCCCCGAAAGCCCCCAGGCTGAGCAGGCTCTCTGAGTGTTCAAACACCGAAGCTAGGATCAGGTGAAAGGTGGAGAAAGTAATCATATACCTTAGAGCATAGACAAGGATAGGTCCTGAAAATGGCCGCTAATGAGTGCTATAAAAGTAACTACTCCTAGGGCATCGACAAGTAGAGTCTCTACAGCTTGGATTTCAGATTGTGACTCACCTGTCCCTCTGCACTTCTTTCTGGTGAGTGTCCTAGGCTGACTGGTTCTCCATGGTGATGCTTATCACTACGTTAAGCCGAACCCTGGTTTCTACCCAGAGAATGTATTGGAGGCAAAAAAAATTAAAATGTGGTAAATATTTGCATACATTCAAGTTCTCCCAAAACCTGGCCATGCCCTTTCTTTCCAGTTTGTAAAGGAAAAGCTAGGGTGGACCCCTCAGCCTTCTTCATGAAGCAGGCTGCTCTCTGAGCAGCAGCAGGAGCCTCTGAAATGAGGACCTGCATTTAATTAAAAGCTGTTCTGAGTAAAGGGAAGAATTAACCCTTTCTCATTCATTTCTTTCCAAGCCCCTGGAGGTGGTGGCCTATAAAGAAAATTACACTTGGCATTTGTAGAAATGGAGAGAAACCGTAATATGCTAAAACAGGGAAATACTTAAAGAAAACTCAGGCTCTGACTTGAAGCTCTGAATCAAAGAATTGCTCCTTCTGTTATCCTCAAAGGTTTAATTGTACCAATGTGGGTATATGGTTGACTGCATGCTATTGAATTGAAGTTTGTCTCTAATGCCAAATGGAAGGCAGTGGCTTACTAAAAAAGTAAATAAATAAAAATAAAACAAAAGTGGGCTTTAGGGATCCCAGGACTCCAATAGAGGTCGGACTACCCAGCTGGAGCACCTTAGAAAAATTGCCTGAACCTCTACATTTCTGGTTCCTCATCCATAAGTGAAGGTAAAATCTATTAGGAAGCCTAAGTGAAATGATGTAGACAAAATATATTGAGGAGCTTGTTAGCCGCTGAATGAAATCTCAAGTTGGTAAAGGCATTAAAAGTCACCCAGCCCAATCCTCCAGCAGTAAGAGGGCTCTCACAGGCTCTCGATGCAGTCTCTGTCACTTTGAGGCAGGTGTAATGGCCAGGACATTTTCCCCAACCTGTGCTCCTTGTCTTGCACCTCATTTCCATGCTCTGGCTCTTGTTGAGGTTTGGGGACCAGAAATAAGTCTTGGTGATCCTGTACGAGAGAGGCATTGGAACACTTTATTTGGTCACACAAAGCACTGCAGTCGCAAACTTCCCATGTGCAAATATAAGGAAGTACAAAGAGGCAAGGAGTGAGTCCAGATTTCTCATTTCAGGGCATGGATGGCTGAGCAGGGGGAAAGAGAAGCTCAGGAGGAGATGGCAGGTAGGTACCGGACATTTGAGTCATAGCACAGAAAGGTTGGAGTGGAAGGTACAGGCTTGGTAGTGATCGGCACATGGGTACTGGCTGTGGTTGATGTGCCTCAAATTGCCCAGGATGGGGAGTTGAGAACATCGGCAGCTAAGAGGCAAAGTATAAAATTCAATCAAAAAAGCAGAGGGGCAAAAAGATTGGTACAAAAATTAATTGAAGGCCTCCATGGAGAAGAACTCAGGAAACCCAAGAGAAAAGATTATGACTAAGTATTAGCCTGAGAGGTGGGAGGGGAACCAAGAGAGAAGTGGTGTCAGAAGCCGGGAGAATACTGTCTCATAAGAGAGCACTGGCCACACCGTTTGCCTTGAGAAGCTCCTGGGGGATAGATGTAGGCGCACTTCACTGGGGGAGAGAGAAGGAATCAGCCCGCACGGTCCACCAAGCAATTGGTAAGAGATCGATGAAGCAAAAATGGCCAATAGAGACCACTTTTTCAAGAAAGATGCTTGTTAAGGATATAAGCAGCGTTAAAGAAGGAGGAGGTTTGAGCTGGAGAGGAAAGACTGTAGAGGCAGAGGAATTAAAGACAAGGGGATTGTAAAGAAGCAAGAGGGGACACCTTGTGAGAGGAGGGGGAAATGTGCGCAGAGGCAGCAAGGAAAGGGTGTAGGCTGGGTGTGCCTGGTGGAGGGGAAGAGCTGAGTTTCTACTGTTTCTGTCTCTGTGAAGACAACAGACCGACGGGGACGGGGAAGCCGTGTGCAGGAGATGGAAGGGAGGGAAGAGTGGGTACAGATGTTGGAGAAGGTGCTGGGGTTCTGTAGGGAGCCTGTCCGCCGGCCTCCCAGCCTTGGCGTGATGTACTTAGAGGCCATTTTGTCTACGCTTGCTCCAACCCAAATGGCTGGGTGGTCTTTTCTTTCATAGAAATGCTTAGCAGCCAGAACACAAGGGTGGCCAAAAGTACTTTAGTGTAGAGACTTTGTAGGGTGGGGGCAGCTGAAGGAAAGCAGGTAGGGAGGTATGGTATTGGCAAAGAAGCAGATAAAGTGATGGTCCAGGGGGTATAGGCTGGAAAAAGAAGGACTTGGCAGGCAGCCACCGTCTTTCCTGCAAATGTCTTCCCCCCACTTTCCTGTCTTGAGCTCTTGCCTCCGGAGATGCCACTTTACTCCATGTTTTGTCCAGAGCAGCACACAGCAGCCTAGCTGCGTGGGACTTGTATAGAGCTCAGTGCTCTGTTTCTGGGACCCTCACACCTGGCAGACATATACTTAAGGGGCACCTCACCATGTTAACGTACGTTGATCACCTAGTCCAGAA